TATATATTTTTTTTTTGTAATAATATTTCACAATATTACTGTTTTTATTGTATTTTTTGATCAAATGAATGCATCCTTGCTGAGTCTTCTTTCAAAAATATTTTAAAAATCTTGCTGACCCTAAATATTTGAATGGAACTGTATATAAAAACGGACCTCACTAATCAACTAGTTGGTCATTAAATGACCAGTCAACCCTCAACATATCCTTACTAATAATCTTCAAGTACATTCCTTGAATACTGTGCAAAAACAAATACTTTTCTATTATCGGAAATTGGAACTTCATCAGAATTCTTGGAACTTTGCTGAGAAACAATGAACTTTTACAGGAAATCCTGGGTTATAAATGATGATGGGATGGTTAGGTTTTTGTATTTTAATTCTTAGATTAGTGAGATGATTGGCAATTAGGAGTTGTAAGCAAAATGCAAAGCACAAAAAGTAAAAGAAGGAAATAAGGTTTAAAACATGAGTGTATGTCAAAACATCCTCATAATAATGGTGTTAGAGCCACTTTTGTATATATTTTGGTAAATGTATTTTGTTCAATTGACAATAGCTTGACACAGACATTTTATTTTATTTCATTTTGTTAAATTAAAAATACAAAGACTTTTTTCTTTTGAATAACATGCACTGATGAATCGTGCAGAGTAAGACCAGGAACATGCATTAGAAAAAGTAAATAGAGTCAATTTTTAATGTCATGTTGACTTTTAGGCAAGGATCTCTTACCATGAATACATTGTAAATAATACCCTAAGATATTTAGCAATTACGTAAGAGTCTGAGTGGGCAACACTGGGAACTTTGTACCAATAGAAGGAACAATGTGCTATAAAACTAAATGCTTTACCAGAAAATACCACATCCATCCACTCTAGTGCCAAAAATTTGACCACATAACTGCACACATTACTTTTAGGGCACAAAAAAAAACTTTTGCAGAAGTGTTTTATATCTTCTCTTTCAGAGTGTGTGTGAGAGAGAGGTAGATCTGGGGGAGGGTGGGAGGTGCAGGCAGGTTTGTGTTACCTTCATGATGGCAGTAGTAGTAGGCATAGTGACTCCCTCGCCCTAGGACGGGACGCATGCACAGGAGCCAGGAGCAGACAGAACGGCGGGACACACACCGACACACGCCAGAGAGAGAGAGTGAGAGTGAGAGCAAGAGCGAGAGATACAGAGAGAGGAAAAGCCAAAGAGTACCAAACGCAGCAAGAAAGAGAAAAAAGCACCATAAGCAAGTGGTCAGTCTGTCAGCTGACACACACTCCAGAGATGAGTGAATATGTCAATCAAATCTTAATTTTCAAGGCCCAGAAAATCCTCAAGACCACTTCTACACTGGACAACAGCACGATGCAACATGACAAAACCATAATTATCCCATTATAATCAACAAAACTGTCAATACCAGAGAAATACCATTTCTTTTTTTGCGGATTGACAGCTACTCCAGCCATATTTTAAGTCCATCTAAAATAATTTTATTTACATGAGTGAACTGCCTGGTAATAATTTGATTTGGTGTGACTCATATATTTGTTATATAACTCATGATGTAATTAGTGTACTGATGTACTGGAAGTACAGCTTTTATATTAATAGTTTTTTGTTGTCAGTAAAACAACACAAAGTCACCCAAACAACTGTTGCTGTAGTCATCATTGATTGGTTAGTGAACTTTCAGAAGTGAGGTTAAGCTTTAATGCTTTCATTGTAGACAGCCTTAAGTTTTTGTCTTCGCAATGCGACACTGGTTGCCTCCAGTATAGACACAGTGTTATTACACATCAGGAGAGTTTCTGCTCCTAACTCCCAGTTAAAAAGCGTTGGTTATAAACGCAGTGACAGGGTTAGTTGTGGGCCGTAGTAGGGGGAGGAACAGTAAGGAAGCAGCAGTTAGACTGAGACAGCGTTAGTGAGGGTCAGATCTAGACGATGTGAATTTTCAACTCTAAAAAACCAACTCGACTAAAACTAAGGTCTATTTTAAGGGGTCTCACTAGCTGACTCTACAGAGGTCCAGACACTGAACTCATTTGTTGGCCATAGCTCTACTCATGCATGTCAGTGGGCAATCAGTGGGCCGCTCTTCACAGCGGTCACATCAGTGCAACTGAAACTCTAGAGCAGGCTTAGACCAACATGACCGATCCAGGAACAGCTCTGCTAGCATTCAATGACTCACAAAGGCCTCTGTTTCTGCTCTACATTTCCTGGAAAGAGGATTTGCTGTCATAGTGTATGTTTGTGTGTGTCACCTGGGCTCAGTTCAACCAGGTAGGGCAGTTTCTCGGGAGGAATGGATCCGTGAGGCGGTCCCATCCTGTTGTCGGGCTTACGTCCTTTTCTTGGAGCATAGTCTGGAGGACGCTTTTTCAGCTGGAATACTAAGGCCTCTGTAAAATTGACATAATAGCACATTAAAGTCAACAGGGGGCAGTATAAGATGGTGTAAATGAGAGGCTTTTGTATTAAACTAATTTAAATGTTTTAAGCATGTAGCATGTAAAAGAAAGAAGCATTGAATGGGTTTTCAATGTACTTTTGATCAAATAAATGCAGATAAAAAAAACGCAAATAAAAAAAATCCCCAAACTTTTAAAAGATAGTAAAGACGTTCCAAAAAGCTCCAAAATGTGTCCAAAAATAAGCTTAAGAAACGGCATATGTGGCTGACCTTTATCGCTTGTCCAGTCTCTGAGGATCTGCAGAGGGCAATCCGTGTCGTCTAGTATAGTCTCCTTCACTGGTTTATCATTTGCATGAATCACCTGCACAAAGCAAACATGCACACACTTTCAGAGTCTAAAAAAAATCCAACTTTGTTGCTCAAAGAACTAATAAAGTTTGACTTCTTTGGCGAAGCATGCTAATATTTCACAGTGCGCACTCCAGGCAGGCATTAAACACCTGTTTTAGTGACAGATACACGCTCCCTGCCACAATTTAACAGCAGCTTTATGGACAAGCTGTGTAAGTAATTAAAATTGGCCAGAGTGATGGGAGAGGATATTACGATGCCACACAAAAACTCTCAGTGTGATTGGCTGAGAAGAGCTGGTAAGCAACAGCGCAGACAGGCCAAGGTTGACACTTTTGTATCAGCAATGTTTCTCATTCGCTGACAGCAGAGATTAGACTTGCCACTTCAAGCACTTCCTGCTCTCCTCCTCTACACTTCCTCCTCATCCCCACGTATATCTCCATCTTTCACTCTGTGTAGTGCTAAACATGTCCAGACGTGGCACCTTACAACACAATTCAATTACTCTCAGCAGAGGTGAAGCAGATGTCAGCTCCCGGCTTTAATCTGGAAGACAAATCGTGCAGTGGCCTGATGAAATATGCTGGATTTGATCATAGGAGCAGGAGGGGTCCACAAAGAGAGCCGGACAAGGCAGGGACGTTCAATCAGCTTAATAACTTTACAGCAGACCCACATGGCATGTGAAGGCACTAGGGGTGTAACGGTACACAAATATGACAGTTCGGTACGTACCTCGGTTTTAACGTCACGGTTCGGTATGATTTCGGTACAGCAGGGGGGA